CACTGGGCCCTCGAGCAGGAGCCCAGCATAGACATACAGAGAACTGTGGTCCAGTTGCCGCATCAGCCTGTGCACATCCTTGTCAGGCTCAGAGGTTCCCCTCAGAGGTAACTGGGGCAGGGTGAGGGGGCTTGTGGTGTGGCTCTTTGCTGGGCACCAAAGACCCCACTCCCCTGTGCTCCACTGCTTGGAACCGGTAGCTTGAATAATGGGGGCACGACGGAGTGAAGAACTCCGAGGAAAATGACCAGACCTCAATAGAAACCTTCGTCTTGTGATTTCTTTAATGACACTGACCAGGGAGGATGTGGAGTTCACACCTTTCCTGCCTTTTCTGACCCAGACCAACTGCACAGCCCTGGACGGGGCAGGTGCTGGGGAGACTCATGAAACCCCTTTCCCAAAGGCCACTTTGCTGCCCAGACGGGCTCACCCAGGATAGATGGTGTTCTGCCCTAGGGCTGTGACGGTGAATTCTGCAGTGATGGAAGGCAGACGTGATGACAACATCTGAAGTGTCCGAGACTTCCGAGGGAGATAGTCCTGGGGTACACTGAGTAAACGGGCATTGCACACCCTTTGAGGTGCCATTCTTTTGTTGTTGTTGTTGTTGTTGATTGAGAACCACAGTGGTGCGTGTTTGCCCTGCAGCCCCGGAGAGCCCTCGCTTGCAGTGGGATCACGAGATCCTTGATGGAAGACCACGGGCTAGGACCTAGTAGTCGTCTTCCAGATGCGCATTTCTGGGGGTCTGAGAAAGGGGAGGGGCAGCTGGCAAAGGTGTATACCGCCTTGTCGGGAAATTGCTCTGGGATAGCTAAGAGTTGTTAGAGAAGAAAGCACCAAAGCCACGTTCATGATGACTCACCTTCCCTCCGTCTCTTCAAAAGGCTCCTGACACCGCACCTCTAGGGTTTTACTAGGATGGTGCTGAGGGAACCCGTGCTCCCCGCCCAGCAAATGGGCGGATGAGAGGATGCCGCATCTGACTCTTCGTGAGGACCTACCTGAGCAGAGCACACCTCAAGGTCATCTCCAGAAAGACAACACAAAACCTCAGGAAGGAGCTGAAGCAACTTTTAGAACAGAGAGGATAAGAAAGTACATAAAAATTAAAATTCACTTTAGAAGCACATAGCCGTGCTCAAGTCAGTGTCGGGTAGGGAAGCATAAGTCGGTGCCTGCGTGCCCTGATATCAAGCCCCCAGCATGGGCCCAGACGCTTCTGAGATGGCTGAGAAGAAAGGTGCGCACAGTGAGAAACAAGGAGACCTTGAGAGACAAAAGGAAGGCAAGCATCAGAGCAGGGTCTTCTGTCTGGGTTGGAGTTAGGAGGGGGCAGTGGGATGGGCAGGAGGAGACTCCCACGGGAGCCCGGCCCCTAGACCCACAAGCCCCAGGAATAGGGGCAAACAGCCAAGAGGACAGCCGGGTATGGAATGGGAGGGATATGCAGCTTGGAATCAGCTAGACTCGCGTGACCCTGGGCAGGTTACTGGACTTTGCTAAGCCTCACGTGCCTCTGCTGTAAAAGTCAGGATCATGGGTGCCTTTGAGGGCTGTTGTGATACTTAAGACGAAATCATATGAAGAGAACCCAGAACCTAAGAGGCCCTCAATCAAGAATAGCTGTTAATGAGAGAAACAAACTCTGCTTATTTGCCAAAGAAAATACGAAGGTGGTCCAGGTCTAAATGTTCCCGCAGCCCCACCTCTTGTGCTTTCTAGAAGTGTGGCTTCAAGCATCCCCACGACAATCACACAGAGCAGGGTTTCCTAGGACACACTACAGAATAAAAGCTACTTCGGAGAGAGTGAGTGATAAATGATGAAATCTCCTGCCTGATTAGTATGCAAAGTGAAATTTAGGGAGGAAGGAGTTTGTAATCAGATAAAGCAGAGAAACTGACAGAGAAAATTGATTGTGTCCTGAAATGCTTAACCCAGTTGACACAGAGCTATTCCCTGCAGAGCTTCATTGATCAACGGGAGGTGTGCAGGCTGAGCCACCACCGGCAGCCTGGATTTGCCAGACCAGGCAACAGAGCTCTTACTGGAGGAAATCGAAGGACATCTTCCTTTTCCTTAAACAGAACCGTGATGGAAATGCCAAAAAACTGCACATATTTTATAAGAAATGGGAAACCCACAACTTCAAGTATCTTCTTACTTCTACTTTTAAATATATACCCATTCATTTATGAATATAATACCATAAGCAAAAATTCGAGTCTCTTTGAAAAGTAAATTCCTCATTACTTTTCCTGACCTGAAACTGGTGACAGCTCTTTTGTTGAAAAGTGACATTTCATAGGATGCCGAGTGTGAAAGCATAACAGATGGTAAACAGGTTTTCTCCCTGTCCCAACACATGACTGTTATAGACAGAATTGTGGAGCTTAATACTGCATTTAAAGCCAACATTGCAAATCTAATATGTCAATTATGTCTTTCCCATTAATAGTTGTTTTTTTGCCTCTCAAAAATATACTTTGTGGGGTTTTTTATTTTGACATTTGTCAAACTTGCAAATCTAGATACAGAAATAGATAGGCAGCATTCCTAGATCGAGAGGTTATCATTTTGAATCATAATCCGAACTGACGGAGTCGCTGGAGACCCTGAGCTCCTTTCAGCCGTCAGCAGGTCAAGGGGCGGGTCCACACGGCTCCACTGAGCACCGACTCTGAGACTGTAGACGAGTCACTGACCACGCCGACCCTCAGCAAGTCTCACCTGTAAGTGGGGAAAACAGTAGAAATAATTGCCAATTATAACGTGTTATCTCCAACATACGGTAAACTCCTTACCATTTGTGGTTAGAAAAACAAGATGTCATCCAAGCAGACAGCTCACCAGGGCCTCACTCAGGTCCCTACAGGAAAGCATTTGGTTTCGGTTTCAGATTCAGAAACTGGATTTTGCTCAGTCTTTTAGGGACAAGTCCCACCAACCAAGCTCAGGGAAAACTGGAAGGGAGATCCTCGGAGCAGTGGCCTTCACGAGGCCCAAGAACCCCGACACCTCCACGGGATGCATTCTACTGTTTGTGGTGGGTCTGTCAGTCAGGTTGCAGCTGCAGAATACAGAAACCACTCTGGCTATTTTCAGCATATTGGGGTTTAATACAAGGACTCACATTCTTACAAAATCTTTGGAAGGTCAGAGAGTCACCACTTTATATCACCACGGGCTCCCAGTTTCTGCCCTTAGAAGATAAATAAAAAGGGCTCAGAACACCTTTCTCTCTTTGGTACCACCCTTGGTTGCTGAGGCTTAGCTGTAAGTCACAGGCCACCCCCTGTGGTTCCTCCCCCCACAGTGGGCAATGTCAGCTTTGGGACAAGGACCATTCAGAGACATGAAGCATCCACAGCTCTGGCACTGAGCAGGAGCAGTGGGGTAAAATCTGCACGTTGCTGTCACGTCTTTGCTGAGCTCAGGGGGAGGGAAACCCTTCCCCCTGTTGCCCAGGTCCACTGCAGGCCTGCGATGGTCATCTACTTGCAACCAAAGAGAAGAAAGGCGACTTTCAAGAGTGGAGGCAGCCTCTGTTTGGCAGTAGCTAGAACACAAATGGACACCAAGTGACAAATTAGTCACTTGCCATGAGAAATACGGCTGCCAAAAGGACTGAAGCCCTCAGACAGGGGTGGGGCCATAGTGCTCTCTCATAGGAGAGTCCAGGTGCAGTCCCCCCAGCCCTGGGGACACTCGGCCGCACTCTGGCTTCCTGACTCCCCCATCAATGGGCTCCACCCCCCTCTGTTGGCAGTCTGTCTTCAGTCCTCGTGCAGTGACATCAGTTAGAATCAGGTTGGCTCCATCCATTCACTTGAGACCCATCATTTTTTCCTGAGGATCCCCCTCCCCTGCCAAACCATTCCTTAGGATGTGATGTTTCTATAAAAGTCTGGTTCCAGCCATTACATTTGGGTTCTCCCTAGTTTTGCTCCTGGAGAGAAACCCCATCTGGATGTTCCGAGGGTGCATTACAATCACCTGTGAGCACTTCCAGCCCTTCCATGTTGCAGCCGCGTTCATTTAGAATCGCCACCAGCTTCACAGTCGTTCCGTTCTCCATGCACGAGAAAGACAGGGCTCAAACCACGTCCTCCTTCACAAGCACTCAGAGGCTGTCCTTCTTGGGAAGTAGAAATGGGGACAGGAGAAGGAAGGGCAGGAAGAAGGAATGTACTCTTACCAGACAGGAAGCAGTGCACCCGAGACCAGGGTCGGGGAGAGGAGTGTGAGGAGGCCCCCCTGCTCCGGGTGCTGAGGAGACTGAGGGTTGCTGACGGAGGAAGTTTAACGCAACGGAAAGCAGAAGTTGAGACGGAACAGAGCAGCGTCTCGCTGTTCTCTTCACTTACGTCTCCTCTGTCTTCTTTGCTCACCTTCTTTATTCGGCTCTTTGATGACCAAGGTGTTCATCGTTTTGCTTTAGATCCTGAAGCATGGAGCTAATTTTTGTCTTTGATTTCAGAAATTTACCTCAATATTCTACTTATCTACGTCTTTAAACTGTTTTTATTATTGTTATTCAATTTTTATTTTTAAGTGTTCTGTTTTATGTGTGTTTTAACTTTTAAAATTGTCTCAAAAGTATTTTGTGGGAGAGTAATATAAATGACAGATAGCTAAGTATTTCTTACATGGTTTTCTATGTAGGTATTTGGTAAAGAAACTAGAATAATTTCTGCTAGGGCTGTTAGTAAACCATATGTGAGTCGATTCATGTATTCATCTGTTTACTCTACAAAAAAAGTATATTAAGCATCTACTCTGTGCCAGCACCATACTGGGTGTGAGCGATACAAAGATGAATATAACATTATTCATGTCCTGTAAGAATTTACTGTCTTGATGGATGTTTCTCAAAGTGCAGTCCCTGAACCAGCATCAGCATCACCTGGAAACTTGTTAAAAATGCAAATTCTTGGGCCCCAACCCAGACTTATTGGATCAGAAACTCCAGGGGTGGAGAGGAGACTGGCAATAACCTGTGGTTTAATAAGCCCTGCAGGTGATTCCAATGCATGCTAAAGTTTTAGAATTACTGGTCTAGGAGAAGATAAATAGAAACAAATCCGTGTGATAGGTGCCAAGCTAGAGCTGTGCTCCAGGTGCTATGGGAATCCAGTGGCAGTCACCTGGGAGAACAGACAATGCATGACAGAGGAGGTGATGCAGTAACTGAACCTGACGGGTTGATTGGGACTTTGCCAGGGAAACAGGATAGGGAAGGGTGTTGTAGGCAGAGGAAAGACAAGAACGTGTGAAGGAGCATGCTGACTTCAGTAACTATAAGTACTTCATGATAGAGAAGTTTTAAAAATAGGTTACTTAAAATGGAATTGGGTTGATCTAGATTGAGTCCTCAGCTGAAGGGGAAAAGGTGGAGTCAATGACTTAAACCTGTCTCACTGATTTGCCCTGAATTTCTCTCCCTCTTTGTGTCCTTGAAAGGTTAATAGCACTCTAACACCACATACGTCTTTATCTAAGGTTGCTGGTGCCAGTGACATCCTACATTATCTTTTATCTTAGAATACCTTGTATTTGCATTTCATGACTAAGCTATAGCTGGGAAACACTAGGTAGACATAGGTCCTTTCTCTTTCCCATGTTTGCTCTGTAGTTTTGTGTTTACTTCACTTCAGTGTATGGATGTCAGGGATGGATGACCATGAGCATGTCCCTATCCTAACCTATTTTAGCTCTACTGTTGGTCAATTAGCTATAACTCTTTGCTTTGTTTTGTTTTAATGGTTGCTCTAGGGGTTACAGTATATATCTTTAACTTATCACAGTCTACCTGCAAATAATGTTATTCCACTTTGTGTGTAGTTTAAGATCCTTACAGCAGTATGCTTCCATTTCCCCCCTCCTGCCTTTGCGCTATTATTGCCATACATCTTAATTCTACTTGTTATAAACCCCACAATACATTGTTATTACTTTTGCTTGAGGCAATCAATTATCTTTTAAAGAGATTTGAAAAATAAGGGAAAAGTACATTTTCCATTTACCTACACATTTACCATGTCCACTGCTCTTCATTCCTCTGTGTAATGTCAATTTTCCACCTGGTGTCATTTTTCTTCTGCCCAAAAGATCTTCTTTTAACGTTTCTTGTAATGCTAGTCTGCTGATGATAAATTCTCTCAACTTCTAGTTGTCCAAAAAAGTCTTTATTTTGCTTTCATTTTTTGAAGATGCTTTTGTGGAATATAGAATTTTATGTTGACAGTTTTTCTTTCAGTGTTTTAACGATGTCACTCAATGGTCTTCTGGTTTGCATAATTTCTGATGAGAAATTTGCAGTCTTCACTCCCTTTATGTAATATATCTTTTTCTCTGGCTACTTTTAAGACTTTCTCTTAAGTCATTTGTTTTAAGCAATTTGATTAGGATGTAGCTTGGTGTCATTTTCTTCATGTTTCTTTTGCTTGGGGTTTGCTGAGATTTTTGTATCCCTGGGTTTATAGTTTTCATCAAATTTAGACATTTTTTTGGTCATTATTTCTTCAAATATTTTTTCTGTCTTCTCTGCTATGTTTTCCCCCCACAGAACTCTATACATATGTTAGCTTGCTTGATATTATCTCACATCTCACTGATGCTTTTTAAAATTTTTTACAATCTTTTCACTCTGTTTCATTTTAAAAATTTCTACTATATGTCTTCAAGTTCATTGATCTTTCTTTTGCAAAGTTTAACAGTTATTACTCTCATCCAGTGTATTTTCTATTTAGTATATAGTATTTTTCTTCTCTAAGAACTTGATTTAGGGCTTTTCTATATTTTACGTGTCTCATGATTTTTATGTTTTCCTTTATCTTCTTAAAGATTAAGAGTATGTTTATAATAGATGTTTTAACATCCTCTGCACTAATTCTACCATCTGTGTCTCTTAAAAATCTATTTATTATTATCGATTTTTTTCGCATACTTACAGGTCATGGTTCCCTGCTTCTTTGCATTCCTGGTAATTTTTATTGGATGATGAAACACGTAAATTTTACGGATTGTGTTGGCTGATGGGAACACAAATTACTTCCAGCTTTGTGTGATCTCCTTTGATTTTCCACCTACTCCTCTCTGATGGTTTTCTTCCTGACCTCAGGTAGTTTCCTTGCACACACACGCAGATCAGTCCTCATCCAAATGCTCCAAAGGACCCCTCTGCAGATTTTTGGAGCTCTCTCTCTGTGAAGCTCCCTCCTCTCTGGTATTTTGCCCTTGAAATTCTAGCCAATTTAGCCTCCCTAAACTTTGAACTCTGTTTGCTCAACTCAGCCAAACTGCCCAGTTCTGTTTGGACTCTTCCTCTCTGAACATCAGCCTGGAAACTCTCTACAGGCAGTAAGCTGAGGCAGTTATAGGGCTCATCTCATTTATTTCCCTTCTCTCAGAGATTAGTGTCCTGTGCTGCCTGTTGGCCAATGAATGAAAACCCTCATGTCATATGTTTTGCCCAGTTTTCTAGCTGTTAATATCGGGGGAGATTCTGTGACTCCATCATGGGCAGCTGGTGTGGAAGGTCCTCTGTCTTAATTCAGATGGAGCTTTCAAGGACTGCATGTACCAAGGGGCTGAGGAGAGAAAAATTAGATAACAACATGAGTCATTATTATCTAATTACAAACAGTAAAGTTTAACGCCCTCATTGTCTTGTTGGGGGTCTCCACTGTTTGTTATTGGGCGTGGGCTGCTGTGGTGATATAAGGGGGCTGAACACTGGCGAGATTGTGGACAATTTGAACTGTGCATTGGGTTTCATGCAAGTTGCATTTGAAAGTATTTAGTACTATGAGTTGGGCTGGAGCTATCACACCAGATTGTGTTTTCCCGGATGTATCAGGAAGTCCACACAGTGTCCTGGGAGTCTGCTGTGTAATTGGGTGTCTGTCTCTACAAGGTTTTTCTTGTGATCCTGGAAAAGCCACAGCTACTGGTATGCTTATCATTTTCAGTGTGGGTACAGGACAAAGTGCATGAGAGGGAATCTTGGAGAGGATGGTGGAAAAGAAGGTGAGGCTTGATCACGGAGTCCTGAATATCAAGCCAGAGAATTCCGACTTGTGCTACATAGGTATTGGTGAGCCACAAAGGAGGATAGTCACTGAGAGATATGTGAGCTGGTGTTCATTGTAGAAACGTTTTCAGAATCTGTTGGTGCAGTAGGTGCTGCAAAAATAGGTATCAAATTAATATGCTATTCTATAAAATAAAATAGTCAACGGTTTCATTAATCTGTTCAGTACTGTTCTGTACATGCTTCGTAATTGGGCTTTCAGTCTGATCAATTTCAGGGAGGAAGAAAAGGAGAACAAAAGTACAGAGATGACTTTACAAATGCACTGCTCTTAAAGGAGGGAGTCTGATCCTCAACCAAAAACTGAGTGAGAGGTTGTGGGTTCACAAATCATAAATAGGATTAAAATGAGCAGAAAATTAACCAGAAGCACTTTCTGGCTGATAGGGTAGCAGCACCCCCAGAGCTGGATTAAAGGGTGGATTAGTCGGGCAGCCAGGCTCGATGGGGCTGCACTAAATGTAATGAGGTGGAAAATATTTTATTTTCCAGAACCTCTCTCAAGTATAGCATGTCCTAGATGTGGCTAAAAGGAGTGCTTAGATAAGTCACTTTAGGGGGCTAAGACCCCCAAAAGGTATGCCTCCGAAATCCTCAGATGTTTCAGAGGCTTCTTTGTAAGGAGGCAGGTCTGGTTACCTGCAGAGGTTCTGTTTCCCTCAGCCACGTCTGCGGGGTTCTCGGCAGGGTACTATCTCCTCCCTAGGGGCCTTTGGGAATGTGACAGTAGGGGGAGCTACTAGCATTTAGGAGACAGTGCCCAGGGATCCTGGGACACCTGCAATGTTCAGGAAAGTCCGCTATTTGGAGAACTGTCCCACCCAAATGTGATGGTAATCAGGGGACGCCAAGTCCTGCCAGCAGTGGTCTCTGCTCAGCCCTCGTGCAGTGCCCCATCTCTCTCCCAAATAGACAGTGAGCAGGCGTTTAAAGAACATTGGCTGGAAGGGATGCTAAATTATACCACCACCCCCAGCACCGCCACCCCTCCTCCCCCCGCTCCGCTGCCCGAGTATGCTAAATAATTGCCTTGCCCAGGGCATCGACACATCTTGGTCTTGCCCTTGCCCTAATTATCCTAGAAGGGGCAACCAAGGGAGATTTAATAGCCCCTTGAAGCTTAGTGCTATGGGGTTTCTACTCTTGCTTAGAGCCAGGGGCGAAAAGAATGTTCCTTCAGCCTGTGGATTTAGAATACTGTAGCACGTGCGTTTCCCTAGGTCTAGGGTAAAAGTCAAGATCACAAAAATAGTATAAATAGCCTACCCTGGGGTCTCCCTTCACCCCCTGCCGTTTTTTTCTTCTTACAGGGGAGGTCCTTGCAGTGGCTGCTGCTGAGGCCTCTGATGCTACATATGTGCTGAAAAGCCAATGAGAACTCCTGCAAAGTCACAGAAAACTACCTCCCACCACGGCCAAAGCTGCAGTTTCCTGCTCCTGCTGATGCCCCGTCTCCGAGGTCAGTGCCAGGCTGCCCATTGAGCCTCCACTGAGCACAAACCCTCTGGTATTGCCGATGCTGCAGTGTAGAATGTTCTGGAGTCAATGCATCAAATCAGACTGGGATCTTTGCCAGTTCAGGGAGACTCCTTCTCCTTGTGTTGGTCCCCAAATTCACCATGAGTTTCGGGAAGGCTGTTCTTCCTGGTTTTGCTTATACCCTTTCCCCAGGGCTCAGAGTGAAACAAGTTCATGGGGCCAGGCGAAAGGACGAAATGGGGTTGGGCCCTGCTGTGCCCCCGAAAGCCCACTAGCTAGCATTGTCCTTGTGCATGGAACTCCTTCCCTGGGGTTTGCTCTGTCCCAGCAGAGCCCTTGTTCTGTCACATAAATAGGCACCTGGCAGCCTGCACTATAAATGTCCATGCAAGCCCAGACCTGCCTGGAACTCCTGATAAACACAGGCTGTGTCAGGCCAGACCGCTCCACTCCCGGCCTAAAGAGGGATTGACGGCGTTTAATGGCGTTCTCCCCTCGGCCTAAATTGCTCTCTGAATTGTTCTGAGATAGAAAAAGGGACCTTTAGGGAGAGGCAACACCTTCCAGGCCCCAGCGGACGTTCCTTGTGCGTCGCAGAGGGAATCCATTCGTTTATCCTGGCCTGAAGTCGACGGGGCTGACCCGGAGCTTTCAGGCCCTCACAGGAAGATCGTGTGCAGGACAGTGAGCAAGGGCCTGAGGGTCCAGTTGAATGGAAACTGCTTCTGGCTGTGAAAGTATTACAGTTCTCTTCAGGGGTGGGGGAAACAACTATAATTTAGTAAATTCTGTACTATAAAATAATGTTAATAATTTGTAGCATTATTTGGTGCATCAGATGGGAAAGACTGCTATTGAAATTCACCAGGCCAGAACCTTTACCCAAACACGCTTGCAGGGAGGGTCTCTCCATCCCCGGCCCGATTGCTCAGTAACCTGCCTAGAGGGCCCTGTCTCTCACGTCCCTGACGGAGAGAGTGAAAGCATTGAGACTGGCTAAGCCATGGTCTTTAGAAAGTTTATGTCATATCCAAATTTGCTCTCCAGAATTAGGGAAAGTTGGGTAACCTCTGTCTGTCTCAATTAAGAATAAACACAGTACCTGCCTCATAAGCTGTTGGGAGAATTAAGGGAGTTTTTATGTAAAAAGCTCTTACAGTGCATTGTAAATGTTTGCTAAATTTCCAGTTCTGTCTCCCTGATACTCAGTCTTCTCTGTAGCTAAAGAAATAGTTAGAGTCTAGTCTGGATTCCTTATTTTGTGTCTAGATGTTGTCATGCCAAGATATCTGCCCTAGGATATCCGCTGCTGGACTCTGCCCCCCTAATTACTAAATCTTAGTAATTGTTCATATGCTTGCTTACAGTAATATTGGAAGTATCGAGTCTTTCCCAACTGATTTCTAAGGAAGGCTTTGCTTTGCCTGGGTGTGAGCTTCCAAAGGCTAGAGGTGGTCCAGCTTTTGTGCCTCTGTCTCTCTCCTCTGAGTGCCCGTGTCTGGGCCTGTGCTCCTCTTGCTGTGACTGCAGTTTCTGCTCTGAGGGCTGCTGTCCCCCTCCTGGATTGGTGCTTTGTTATGGTGACAGAAGAACTGGGGGGTGGGGATGAAACCCACTCTTTCCCTGCTGACAAGATTCCTACTGTCCAGAATCTATACATCATGATCCTTTCTGTGCAAGAGCCCTGAATATCTACCAAGAGAGCCGAGTTCCTAGGTATGACTGTCTAATCACGTCAAGCCCGAGGCTGCGTAGGTTACGCTTCATTTCTCACAGATGTGTGGGAAAGGGGACAGAGATCCCAGGGATGGATGCTGCCTAGGATGTCTCCCTTCTCTGAGAACATTCTCTTACCTTTGTCTAACATGAGATGGGGGAGCCACAAGATGGAGCCTGCCTGGATCCCTTAGTCACCACATGGAAGGGAGCTGCCTTGGAGAATCATTGGATCCCCAGAAGACTTTGTGTGAGTGAGAAATAAATTCTTACATGCTAAGTAGCCCAACTATTCTGACTAATACAGGTAGTAATAGCCATGTTCTAAATGCTTTACATATGTTAACTTATTCAAACTTCACAATAACCTTGTGAAGTAGGTATTATTAACCACCATTTTACAGATGAGAAGACTGAGACCCATAAAGGATAAATAACTTTAAATAGTGTCAAATGAATACAGCAGGTCACGCAAATGCTGCAGGAGAAAACCCACAGCATCACTAGATAGGACCGTGTCCCTTTCAGGAGGCACTTAATGTCAATTATTTCACCATCCCTGTGGGTAGATCAGGCAGTGTCTTTACCCAGAGATGAAGCTATCGATACTGAGAGGGAGGTAGTTACATACGGCATGTTCTTACTGCCTTTTCTACGTCATCTTTTGTCTTAGAATGCAGCCACCAAGCCCACAGAGGGCGTATCTACTTGTTCTGCCTAGAACAATGTCTTACCCACCTCGCTTGATACAGTAAGAACACTAACCTAAAGCACTCGGTGACTGGGGATCTGGGGCTTGCAGCAGAGTGGTGATCAGGATGAAAAGTCTCTGACACGGGCTTTTTTGCTTTGGGATTCACTGGTCTTGTGGCAACTCTCACTTAGTTGCAACATAATTTTTTTTGAGAACTAGCCTCCTGCCTCCGCCTCAACACACGCCCACTCCCACTCCAGTACAAAGGGCAGAGGGTGGTTTAGCAGCTTGGGGCAGGCACCCTGCTTTCTGCTGGTGGAAGAAGGGCTGCCCTGGCCTCCCTCCAGGAGAGGGCGCTCCGCCTCTGCCCTCTCCAGCAAGGCCTGGAACCTCCCCTGCTGCCCCCTCCCTTGGCCAAACTCTATGGTTCTAGGAGGGGAAGGGAGAAAAGAGGAGATCTTTCTGTGACAGGAGACATTTTCATTTGTTACACCCCTGCTCTGATAATAATGACTTTGTTCTATTTATTTTATTTTGAATAATTGACCTTAGCTATTTTCTTCACAGGAACTGAAGAATGACATTTTAAAACCTTCAGACCGTATCATTACCAGAGCTGCCAACAGCCCGGGCATATCCTCCAGACCCAAATCATCATTAGAGGAGACAAATCAGCAAGTACTTATTCCTGACGGAAAAAAAAATTGCCTACTTTGTCACTGGCATTTCCTTTTCACTTATCTTAATTCCTTTGTTGGGATTAGGGAAGTCCATAATCACGTGTCAGCGACCCTTTACATCCCTTTGAATACCCACCAGTCTTTCTTACAGCAAGGGTGGGTACTGGGGTCATAGGGGGGCTTGCAGCAGGAGCTGTTCTGACCCCAGAGGGATGGAGAGGGGAAAGAGAAGCCTCCCCAGGAAGCAGGGCAGCGAATATTCACATGTATCACACATGATGGTCAGTGTCACATCTTCTCTCCTCCCTTCTCCTCCTCATAAACAAAGACAGTGAGAGCCGCTCGCTAGTGAGCTAGAGAACACACCAGTTGTGTGTTAGAAAGCTAAGATGGCCTGGCTGCTGGCTGCTCAGGGCGTGTGTGTGTGTGTGTGTGTGTGTGTGTGTGGTTTTCAACAAGACCATTTAAAAAATGCACAGGTAAAAGATTGTATAGACAGGTGATCCTCTAAACATTAGGAAGCGTGAAGGAACAAATATTGTTACATTGGAATGGTTTGAGCCAGTTGCTCTAGACAAATAGCAGAATTCCTCTAAGGGAGAGAACTGATCTTTAGTTTGGGGGAAAGAAAATACTTGATGAGATTTTGTTCAAGGACCACAAATATAGGACAAGTTTGATTGGGAGAAAGTCATACGAAGAGGGAGGTAAAACCTCCTGTATAACAAACGTGCTGGTTATTGTTTGCCGTCTTCTTGGCCCACAACTCTCCTCCCTCCCTGCTTGTTCTGTGCCCAAGGAAGCTGGCCTCCAGGAGTGCACCCCCCCAGGCTCCCCTGCCCTGTGGCTTTCAGTTGGGCTCAGTTGATGGGAGGTACCAGCAGGAGAAAAGAATAGGAGAGGAGAGAGAGATGTATGTGTTTATCACACCCCACCCCCAAACCCCAATCCCTACCCGCCCCCAAAGGTCCAGTGTTGGCTGCATTTCTCTGCAGCCTCAGCTCCTCATGGGGGCCCCTTCTATGGCTCTGGTCCTCACCAGGTTCTGGCAACAATGGTCAGGCCCAAGGGGTGGTAACAGCCTCCCACCATTGCTAATCCCTGGGGACTTCACCACCTCTTGTTACTTCCCTTTGCCCCTGTAAATAGCCCCTTCATTAAACTGTCTTCAGTCAAACTCTTTCATTCTGTATCAGCTTCCTGCTGGCACCCTGAGTGCTATCAGTTAGCAGGGTGATATTGTGATTTATAATAAGAAATATGTATTTGGTCTTCATCCCCGGTTCTGGCAGAGCTCCTAAAACCCTTGGAATTTCCTAAGTGATAAGAGTGACAAAGGTATCTTTCGTTATGTTGATTAGGTTACTTTGGGACCTCACCTAAGGATGGGGGGCTGGTTGCAAGGAGAACCAAGCACATAATTAGAGGGTTGGAACTTTCAGTCCCACCCCCCTGACCTCTGGGGAAGGGAAAGGGGCTGGAGGTTGAACCCATCACCAGTGGCCAATGATTTAATCAATCTTGCCTATGTAATGAAGCCTCCATAAAGACCCAAAGTGACAGGGTTTGGAGAGCTCCCAGGTTGGTGAACACACGGAGATTTGGGGCAAGTGGCTCTCTGAGGAGGCATAGAAACTCTGAGCCCCTTCCCACGTACCTTGCCCTGTGCATCTCTTCATCTGGCTGTTGATTGTTTCCTTCATTATCCTTTGTAAAAAACTGGTAATCTAGTGAGTAAACTGGTTTCCCAAGTCCAGCGAGCCCAAGGAGGGAGTCATGGGAACCTAATAACCTCGACTTGCGATTGGTCCCTGAAGTGGAGGACGGTCTTGTGGGACTGAGCCCTTAACCTGTGGGATCTGATGCTATTTCCAGGTAGGTAGTGTGAGAATTGAGTTGCAGTCTAGGACAGCTAGCTGGTGTCAGAGATTCCTTGTTGGTGTGAGGAAAAAACCCCATACACATTGGCACTGAGTGCAGAACCCTCAGCACATATGTGCAGTCGTCCCCTGAGACAGAAGTGGGTGTGGGCTGAGAAGACAAGGGGGAAAGCGTCTGAAGTACATCCCTCAAGAGTCTCGGCTTCTGGTCTCAACTTGGCAACCAAGTAGCCCTGTGACCATAGTCAAGAATCTACTCATCCTCACATTTCATTTTCTCATTTGATCCCAAAGGGGTTAGACTAGATGATGTCATTTATTCAAGAATAATTGTAGAGTAGGGCCGGCCCTGTGGCCTGGTGGTGAAGTTCAGTGCACTCTACTTCGGCACCCTGGGTTTGGTTCCCGGGCACAGACCTACACAACTTGTGGGCCGCCATGCTGTGGTGGCAGCCCACATACAAAATAGAGGAAGATGGGCACAGATGTTAGCTCGGGGCAAATCTTCCTTAAGCAAAAAAAAGAAAAAAGAAAACCCACTAATTGCAGAGTACCTACTCTGTGGTAAGTCTCGGGTTACAATACTGGAGTTCACAGGTGGTGGAGGGACGTACACAGGAGCGGGGCGCTGAGCTTCGCCTTGCTCAGTGCGGTGGTAACAGAGGCAGACACGGTGCCGAGGGGGGCGCACAGGCGGGGCTGCGCAGGTCAGGCCGGACAGGTGCTAGGGAAGCTTCTGCAAGAGACTGGTATTGAGCACACATCTGGAAGGTCTTGAAGGGCAAGGAGGAGTTAGCCAGGGTGAGGGAAGGTGGCGGAAGTCACCCCAGCTGGGTGAATCCCGTGAGAAAGGGTAACACCACTGCAAACAATGCAGAATGAATTAAAAGACAAGAGAGGTGTTAAAGGAAGAATGATACCAATAACAGGTACCCGGCCCTGGGTTCTGTCAATCTGACCACATCGCTGAGGTGGGTGGACACTAGAAGGGACTAATCAGGGGACCTAGTTTAGGCCCAGGGGGCTGTCATGAGGAAAGGATTTCTGAGATGTCATTTTTGTTAACATCTGAGGTTGGGCAGGATTTTGTGGCAGGGAGAGCATCCGGGTGGGCGGAGGGGCCCAGGGTGGACAGCCAGGCGCAGGGAGGGAGCTGAGGGTCAGGGCCAGTGGGAGAGTGAGGGGTGCTGCCCTCACACCCTGGCTTCCCGGGATCAGAGCTTCCTCCCTCCATTCGCTCTGTGTATTCCAATCCCTCCTTGTTTCCCTGCAGCGTTTATGTGCGTGTCCTTCCCTAGAGAGCAGAGGTGGGGTTTCCAGACCTTGGCAGCACAGCGCCTGGCTAGTCGGTGCACACAGAGGCCTGTGCTTGGTACCTGTCCTCCAGTGAGTGACGGGGCTCAGGACCTGCAGCTCCGACACAGCAGCGCAGCTGATAGCTCCGTGGAGCTTCAGAGGAAGCAAAGGCCCGTTTCCGGTAGGGCAAGCCCCATTCCTTTATTTGGAGCTCACAGGTCAGTTTTTCTTAAGGGCAGTGGGGCTGTAATGACGTTCTCTAGAGGAGAAGAGTGGGTTTTGAATCCGTGTTCCCCAGAAGCTCCACCTGTTACAATGAAAACCACCCCAACCCTCCACAAGGATGAAATGGGTAGAACTGCTGGAAAAAAATCCCAGGCATGAGACAGTCCTCTGGACCCCACAGTTAGTGTGTTTGCTCACCAGGGTGATGCTGACCTCCAGTTTGTGTGCCTGTGGGCAATGCATATCCTCATTTCCAAAAGCTTTGACAAATGACAAAAAATATAGAACGTGTGTGAAAAAACCCAAATGCAGGGGCCAGCCTGGTGGTGTAGTGGTTAAGTTGGCATACTCTGCTTCGGTGGCCCAGGGTTCGCAGGTTTGGATCCCAGGCGCAGACTGACGCACCACTCATCAAGCCGTGCTGTGGCAGCATCCCATATACAAAATGGAGGAAGATGGGCACAGATGTTAGCTCAGAGCTAATCTTCCTCACCGAAGGAAAAAAAAAAAAAACCCAAATGCATATTGTCACCGTCCCTTGATGTAAAAGGGTGAGGACATTATTATCAACTCTATATATCCCATGTCCTGAAACCCAAAAGGATGCTGGTGGGGGACCAGAGTCCTGAGCAGGGCTTTCTCCAGGAGCGCACTCCTGCCTCGTTCCACATGTCCCACACGCCAGTGTGTATGCTGAATCAACCTGAGGAACAGCATCTTCTTGAAAGGTGAGTGCCCAATTAGAACATGTGAAGAAGAACAAAAATTTCTTTCCCTTTAAAATTATGAAAATGGTCTTATCTAGCCTCCAGGCTAGATATTCAAATTGAATTTTCAAAATCAAACTATTTGAATTGTAAAGTACCAGCAGCTGTGATGTAATCTACTGCTGAGAAGTTTGGCTTAAACACTGAGTGTGGATGCAGGATGTTTTTAAAAAACACACAAATTTTTACATAAATTATCTCCAGAAAGGTATTTAAATTAAACAACAACTATGAGAGTTACTCTCCTTGGAAAAAACTAGTTACAACTAATAAGAAATGCTATCTTAATATATGGTTATATTAATCAAATTCATATGACATTTTATAGCTAGATGGTTTCTGTCATTTTATCATTGACTTTATTTGTTATTTTTATTATGATTAATGGGAATAAGCATTTAAATAGTCATCAAGGTATATGGCAAAATAAAAAATTGTAATAAAAGAGGTTTCTAATGAAATAAACAAAAAGGCCACTGGTGGGTGTTTTTTTGGTAAGGAAGACTGTCCCTGAGCTAACATCTGTGCCAATCTTCCTCTATTTTGTATGTGGGATGCTGCCACAGCATGGCTTGATAAGCAATGTGTAGGTCTGTGCCCGGGATCCGAACCTGTGAACTCTGGGCCACTGAAGCGGAGCACGTGAACTTAACCACTACAGCATCATGCTGGCCCCCAAAAAGGCCACTTTTTACCAAACTGATTGTCTATACATGTAGGGAGAACTCCAGGTTAGTCCCAAACCTCTCGCCCCAAGTGAAGAGCCGGGCTCTGTCTACTCCCTGTGTCTCAGGTAGCCTATTCCCGGAACAGTACACCATCCATCTGACAGTCAACAAGTATCTATGAAGTCCCTGTGTGCCCGGCATTATTTTAGGTCCTGGGAATTAGCAGTAGCTAAGACACAGCCCCTGCCCTCACGTCTAATGGGGGATAGAAATAAGTAAAGACAGTGTGTTGAAAACTGTTCTAGGGGAACCCACAGGGGGCTGGGAGCTCAGAGGAGCAGTGCCTCATGCAGGCTTAGAGGATCCCAGAAGGCTTCTGGAAGCAAGCACAGTCTAAGCTGAGAACCCAAGGATGAGCTGAGCCTATTTAGGCAAGGAGGGCGAGAGAGAGGGCCTTCTAGGGAGAAGGAATAGCATGAGCAAAGGCCTGGAGTTACAACTTGTTTAGGGAACCGGAAGTTAACAGCGCAACCCTGGCAACTGCCGATGCCCAACCAAATGTTTGTAAGTTCAGACCCCCTGCTCTGGATCTCTGGGTAACAAGCCAGTTAAATAAGTTCTATTGAAATTCTTTTAAGGGACCATCCAGAAAGTTGTGACAGACAGTTTTGAACAAAATGGATCGAACTGAGTTGAGGTAAACCCTTAGGTTAAAAAAATATATTTTCACAGAAACAGACCTGGTAGCTTCCAAAGCTTCTTTGTGTTTCTATCTGGAAGTGGTTGCTGCATCTGTGACTTAAGCCAGGACACAGGCTGAGCTGAGGGGAAGTGTGGGGAAGGGAGCAGGAAGGCGCCGAGCGGGCAGGCGGGGCAGGAGAATGGAGAGCCAGTGCAAGAAAGGGAACTGCCCAGGGGTGTGCGAACCCTCTCTGAAGGCCAGAACTGCAGACAATTGAACTGAGGGATGGAACCTTCCTAACCTTGTTATCACAAACCCTTTCAAGCCATTGCATTCAATTACATGAAAGAGCCCAGGAGGTTAATACAGGTGCATGGTTTGCTGAGCAGTTAATGAAATCACAATAAAAGAATTCAATGACCACATCAATTATTAACATAAAATTTAACTTAATAATGAAGAAGTATGTCACCACATTCATATTTTCCTAAGTGATGTATTGCTGTTTTCATTTTACAAGCGTTTATTGAGTACCTACTTTCTGCTGCACACCAGATGCTGAACACTGGGGATATAAGGATAAATAAGACCCAGTCCTGGACCTCAATGGGTAAGACAGAAATCACCACAAACAGCTGGGGAAGAAAAGAATATCTTTCAGCTATGTTTCTGTTTTCTTCCCTGCTGACAGCCTACTTCCTGTGTGTTCCTTTCCATCAGTCATTTGCCTAGAAATCCTCCCTTGTTATCATAGAATTCTGTGGCCTGACAGGTCCTTAGAGGTCATACAGCCTTGTGTGTTCAGGCTGTCTGGATCCTAAGGTTTCTTGGCAGTGCCTATGGGCCATCTGGTGATAAATGCCCATGGTTCTATGCTCACTCACTCATTCATTTGACCAAAGTATAGAAGACCTACTTATTCTAGCCACAGCATGAGGCATCAAAGACATGGCAGTGAGCAAAAAATGGAGATCCAAATGCTCATGGAGGTTCCCGCCTATGTGGCATTTAGAGTCTGTGGGGAAGGACATTAATGAAATGGTATTGCCAATGTACACTTACAACTGTGACACATGCGTGAAGAAGAGATACCTCTCACATGAGGGTGTAGAATACATATGGGATCTGATCCAGTCAGAAGTTCTGGAAGGTTGTCTGGGGAAGAGAGGGTTGACAAGAGGCCTGAAGGAGAACGTGCATTGGATGTGAGGGGAAGGCATTCATGGAGAGGGATGGTGTGTATAAATGGCTCAAGATGGGATGGATTTGGGTGCTTTCAAGAAAAAAGAAGAAAGGAAGTAATGACAGAGCTCAGAGAGTGAGGTGGCTGGTGGAGCAAAATGGAGCCGAGTATGCAGGGCGCTGTAAACCACATTGCGGACTTGGGTCTTTATGCTCAGAGAGACGGAAAGCCGTTGAAGAGGAATTTAATGGGAAGGAGCATAGTGCTGTGGAGATGATCACATCTGAACTTGAGTTCTTTCTGGCTCCAGTGTGGAGAATGTACTGGAGGGCACTGCATGAGTGTCAGGCCTGACAGGGGAGCTATTGGAAGTGGTTCAGGCAAGACACGATGCTGTGTGGACTCAGGAGCTGGTGGTGGAGAAGTGGGTGTAACAGGTGTGATTGCCCCATGACTCCCAAGGGACAGGAAATGCTCCATTTCTTTTTTTTTTTTTAAACCAAACCAGATTTGGCTCCAAGTGACCACTCACCATTGAGAGTGAGTGACCACTTAGAGCCAGGATTTATTTGATTGCCGTTGCTTCCCCTCCCCATCCCTGGGGTCACTCCAGGGCTTACACAGGAAAAAATGGGCAAGAGGTGTCACAGAATTGTTTCACAGCTTACAGTCTGTTTCCACCTAGAGAAGACTCAGTTTAGCTGTGTCTGTTGCCTGATTCTAAAATGAATTTGGATCTGCATGACCCCAAATGCCAGCCATCTGTCCTTGCCTAAAAGTCAAACCATAACAAGGGGCACTGACACCTGGAAACATTTATTTGAACTATTTGGCCGCAAAAAATAGATTGC